TTGGGGATAGTAGCCGTGGTTCACGGGGCCACAGTCCTCTGGGCAAAGGAAACTCGGATGAGTTTCACCACGGAATATGTGAACGAGCGGCGCAATATCGAGTATGAATTAATTACAATTATCTCAAATCCTCCTTAATTTGTATTATATATATATATATATATATATTCATTCATTTTCCAAGGACATTAGCACGTAAGTGAATGTAATGGATTCGACTGGAATTCGAACTCGGCTCTGCGATTCTCAGTCCAAGCCGCTATCCATTACTCCGTGCCTCCTCTTCTTCTCCCTCCAGCTTTGGGTAAAATAGCAGACTGGTTTCTATAGCCTTGGATGGCAACTGGTCTAAGTGAAGGACAACTCTGAATTCAAAACCAGCGGAGGTCGTTTGGCATCTTTGTGGCACTCAGTACACCAGGTCTCTGTATTCGTCCTTTCAAAAAGTGTGGATGGTCTTGCACGGGGACCTGTTGTTGTCGGGCTGTCGGTTTCCTGGAAACTGATCTGCTTGACCCTCATACGTCGAAATCGACGGGAGAGTCGACTATATATATATATATATATATATATATATATATATATATATATATATATATATAACATCTGCGTCCCTTTCATCATCGACTTTTCAGAGAAGTTGGCTTCTTTATAAAGTTTGTCACGAGTTGATATAATACTTGACTTACGAATTCAATTGGGTCCACGAAACAATTTTAAAATAGTCGATTGTTTTGCTAATACGGAGTTACAATCATCGTAACAGAGAGATTCAGCGTCTTCGCCTTGTTCAAAATTTTGATCACGTTAGATTAAGCTATATCTTTCAGAAACCTTACTTTTATCTTCTCATCTTACAGTACAAACTACATGTTGATTTTGTCGTTGTTTATCAAATAGGAATGTGCTTTCTCATGCACTTGCAACAAGGATTAGCCCTTATACTCCAGAAATTGACGGATGTCTACCTATATAGACACACGTACATTTACACATGTACGCTTAGATACATAAACAGATAGTCAGATGGATAAATTCCGTTGGCATGTTATTGTTGAAGATACTTGAGGTCTCTTTAAACAAAGTTAATCAATCATTTTGCAATATCAGTTACATGCGCACTGCGCCCTTGCTTGCTCGCCTTTTCGATCAAGGAGTGTCAGCCATTTTGGAATCTTGGTTCTTAATTAATCGCATCTCTATTTGCTTTTTATTTTCGTTTAATTTGTTTTGAAGTTTTTATTAGGCAAAGGCTTCTTTTCTTTTCTTTTTATATTGGCAATGTTCTTTCCCTTTGGTGAATGTTCAATTTTGCCATCGTTTTTTTTTTTTTTTTTTACTTTAAGCAAATTGCAAATATTTATTGTCTGAGGCATAAATCTTTGGCAATTTGCTCTCAGGAGCCTTTTTTTGTGTTTTGTCAGATTAATCTTGATTTCTTTTTTCTTCAATATTTATTGTGAATTTTTCTCCCATTTCAGATGAACAACGAATCAAAGACTTGCTTTTATTTGCTGGTTTTCATCCATTGTAGCATGTGTCCACATTCACAACGTCGTTTCACTGATCCTAGAAATTTTAAGGGCCTTCGGTATAGTCGGTTCAGCGTACAAAATCTGCACTGTAATTATGACAAACCTAAAAAAAAAAGTCAGAAGAAATATGAGTAACCAATTCATTATCAGTTACCAAATAGGCGTCAAAAAAAAAAAAAAAGAAAAGAAAAGCGAAGTAGAGTTTATTCATATTTCTAGATTATAAAATCTTTAGTTGAACTGTGTAAGACTGAAATAATCTAAACCGCCATGTTATTTCCGCCTGTGGGATTAAATGCATGCATTTTAAACAAGATATTATCTCCACACAGAGACATATATCAATGTGTATGTCGAATTTGGATTAAGCAATTCTTCTTTTATTTAAATACATTCTGTTGAGGGGTCCTCCTGTTTTTACACAAATGGACTCATCCAGTATATACATATACTACTGCTACGCGAAGACCCGAGAGAACAGGAGGAGGAGTGAAAGGTTGTAGGTAACCGGAAGTGTGAGAGTAAGGTAACAGACAGACAGAACGAACGTAGCGAGCAAAAGTCACCAAGCACGTAGACTCAGTAAGAAGTCATACAGCAATATTTCAATACCAAAGACTGTATAGATATTTTGCTACTAACCCGTATTACTGGAATTACTAACCTGCTTTACCAGTTTGTATTATTACGTTACATTATTTTCCTATATTCATTCTTGGCGTTTGTTATTTATTGGTACCCGGATTTCATCCCGGAATCCACAACACTTTCAAATAAGAATAACAGATAGAGGGTGTGTGTTCAAAAGTTTTGGTGTCAGTTTATCCGTCGACAAAGAGGATGAGAGAGGAAAGTGAGTTGAGAATATCTCTGCTTGAACTGTAAGAACGTTCACAGAGAGGCATCCATTAAAACGCAACCGATATGGATAGAAGGAGCTGTTCATTTGCGTAACTGCCCAGCAATCCTACGACTACACCATGTCATGGGATGAATAATGAGGATTATGAGAAAAATATCCTAGTGTGTCGAATAAGTCGTTTAATGTCACGTGGAATTTTTTTTTTTAATTGTCAAAATTGTGTTTTACATTCGGAGTTCTTCCGTCCATCGCCTGTCATTTTCAAGGAAAGGGGTTACAATATCGATTAATATCAAATAGTGTGCTTGTGTTGTTAAGAGACTAAAGTTAGAAATGATGTGAGTTCATGTGTTGTGATTGAAAACTATTTGACTGCACGTAGCAAAAAATAACCATAGAGTTTATATTTATTTTAACAAATTCGTGCCTGTATTGAAATACATATTATTGATAAGAATTTTTGTTTTATATAATGTCCTTCGTGATTTATACTCTTTTCTTTTCACTGTTGGCGCTGCAAGAAACTATTGTCTCGTCCTTCAAAATGACAAAGTGCAAGCTAGATTTATATGTTTAAATATCGCACTTTGCGCAATTCGATGGTAGTTCAAACATCAAGAGAGAAATGTTGTGGTATTATCAATATATGTTGATATTTTTTATTATCGACAGAAACGCAGTCACTTAAGAGTTAAAATAATTGGTATACTCCATTGATTTTTTGGTGTGGAATAATTCTTCGAGCTCACATCGTTCAATGTTTTAATGTTTTTCTAGTATATGAAGAATCGAAGGTAGTTATTTCCCCTTGCAGTATTTATAATTCGATGTATGTTATTATATATTATAGTGCATTTTATGTTATATGTTATATTGCCTTTTATGTTATATTGCATTTTATATGTTATATTGCATTTTACGTTATATGTTATTACATGGTATACTGCATTATATATTATATGTTATGATATGTTATATTGCTTTTGATGTTATATGTTATATTATTTTATATTGCATTTTATGGTATATGTTATTTTATGTCATATTGCATTTTATATTATATGTCATTATGTTATATTACATTTTATATTACATGTTATTATATATGATATTGCATTTTATGTTATATTTTACTCTATATTACATGTTATATGTTATATTGCATTTTATGTTATATGTTATGTTAATTTATATTGCATTTTATGGTAAATGTTATTTTATGACATATTGCATTTTATGTTACATGTTATGCTATTTTATATTGCATTTTATGGTATATGTTATTTTATGACATATTGCATTTTATGTTACATGTTATGTTATTTTATATTGCATTTGATGGTATATGTTATTTTACGACACATTGCATTTTATGTTATACGCTATATTACATTTTATATTATATGTTATTATATGTTATATTGCATTTCATGTTATATGTTATATGTTTATATTTATGTTATATTACATGTTTTACAATTTATGTTTATATATTATATGTTATAATACATTTTATGTTATATATTATATGTTTAATACATTTTATGTTATATATTATTATATGTTATAATTTTATGTTATATATTTTATGTTATATATTTTATGTTATATTATATGTTATAATACATTTTATGTTTTATATTATATATTATTATATGTTATAATACATTTTATGTTATATATTATTATATGTTATAATACATTTTATGTTATATATTATTATATGTTATAATACATTTTATGTTATATATTATTATATGTTATAATACATTTTATGTTATATATGTTATATATATGTTATGTTATATATTTTATGTTATATATTATTATATGTTATATGTTATAATACATTTTATGTTATATATTATACATTTTATATATGTTATATTGTTATATTGCATTTTGATCGATTATATATTTGGAGTTCTTCTGGATACAGGAAAACAAACTTTTTTTTCAGATTTTATCAATTAAACTTTTATATTTAACTATATTTGTGTGTAAAAATCAATTAATCTGCTAATGTACAATGTTAATTATAAAAGTAATTATTATTTATTTTATTAATTATTATTATTCCTTTAATAATTATTATTCTTATTTAACAATTATTATCATTATTATTCCTTTAATAAAATTATAAGATAATAATTTATTATCTAATATTAGATCATTCTTTATAGAATATTATTAGAGGAAGAGATTTATTTAACGCAGTTTGTATCGGCAAGGACGACATTCGCTTTGATAATTAAGGAAACGGGAATTCAATCTGGTAAGTTGTGTTATGCTTAAAGAATAAATAATCCTTAAAATCAATAAAGCTCTCACGATGATCCAGCATCCAGGAAAGGGTGTTTTACGCCGAGTTCATCTGTAAAATTTGTTACGGAATTATATTTCAATATCTACTTACGTTTTTAGGTGATCTGCATCTTTTTAACCTCAAGAAAAATAAATAAATAATTAAAAAAAAAAACAGAAAATTTTCAATTTCAAATAGAAACAAATCTGAACTGTATAATAAAAAGTTCAAATTTCAAAAAAGATGAACGTCTAAATCCAGTCAAAGAATATGGTATCATCGTGAAAGCTGCCATGAAATGACCGGTGACCGAGCCGTTTTAAGTCAGGTCCTCGGAACCGGTCGGCGTTACTCGGAGGGAGTACAGATTACGCTACCACAAAGAAACAATTACTGAAATGGCGTCTACCAACTCTTCTTTTTATGTGTCGTGTCCTTTCCGGACGTAGGCGTGCGTGTCTCTCCCCCTCCCTCCATTCCTTGCAGTCTCAACAATTTCCTTTCCTCTGCCACCTCACCCAGACCACGTTCTGTCATCCACTTCTTAAAGCCGCTAGGTAAGGCATGCGTTGTTTTCCCTTGTTTCCCTTTCCCTTTATTCGACACGTGAGTATCAGATTCTCCAGGCCCTCTTTCCTCATTATGTGTCCCAGAAACTTCAGCTGTCTCTTCCTGATGTTGAGTATAAGCCTCCTCCTTGTTTGCAACCTCTTTAAAACCTCATCGTTGCTCACACGATTCGGTTCATGATATACTTAGCATCCTTCTGTAGAACCATATCTCCGTCGCCTCAAGTCTCTTCTTCATCTTTGAGGAAATCGTCCAACATTCGCTGCCGTAAACAAGGACAGATGTCACGTAACAGCTCAGTATTATGTTCTTCATTACTAAAGAAATCCTCCTGTCTCTCAATACTCTGCCCATCTTTTGGAATGCGTCCTTGGTCATCTCAATTCGTCTACGGATCTCAGTGTCGCATTTGCCATCCTCTGTCAGAACGCTTCCCAGCTATTTAAACTTCCGAGTCTGCTTGATTCTAGAGTTCCCGAATTGCAAATCGCATTTCGGGCTCATTCTTTTATTGATTACCATACATTGTTTTCCTCAGTCCCTCATTATGTGTCTCAGTAAATTCAGCTGTCTCTTTCTGATGTTAAGTATAAGCCTCCTCCTTGTTTGAATCCTCTCAAAGACCTCATCGTTGCTCACATGCTCGTGCCATGATATCCTTAGCATCCTTCCGTAGAACCATATCTCCGTCGCCTCAAGTCTCTTCTTCATCTTTGAGGAAATCTTTCAACATTCGCTACCGTAAAGAAGGACAGATGTCACGTAATATCTCAGTATTCTTTTCTTCATTACCAAAGAAATCCGCCTGTCCCGCAATACTCTACTCATCTTTTGGAATTCGTCTTGGCCATCTCAATACGTCTCAGTGTTGCATTTACCGTCCTCTCTCAGAATGTTTCCCAGATATTTAACCTGACAAATCTGCTTGATTCTAGTGTTCCCGACCTGATAAAACAGAATACATGATCCACCCATTACTGAGTGTCAAACCGTATATTTATGTAGAGAAACATTTTGGCCAACCGTGGAACAACACGTCCATCAATTGGTAGACAGTGTATAAATTAGTTTACTTCTAATTATCCATTTGAGATTTGTCGATCGTTCTTTGTTTGTGAACTAGCACATTATCTTCTCCAAATAATATAATTTTAATTCTTTTGTCAATTTGATATTCAACAGTTTTGATTTGAAGTTTTCCCTTTTGAATTCGAAGTTGAAATATTTTTAATTTGAGCGTTAAATGCTGTATGACTTATGCAAGAAACAATGTCATGAATCTATCGGAGTTATATAGAACATTCTCTGGTGATGTTAAAGTTTTATTTTCAAAGAAGACCACTTTAATACAAGTAGGGCTCAGTAAAATCCCATAATAACATCATCATACTCTCTGTATATATTTACAAAATTATTATAGATCAAGAACTGTGTGTTACAGATTTGCAGGAATTTTAAGAAACTAAACGGTTTAATTTTAAGAGGCCGGATATACGAATAGTTGTAAATATGTTTATAAAAATGTTAATGTTATCATTGTCAGAAGCACTGGTAAATATGTTTTCAACCTTTTGTAAAGCTTGAATACGATAGATTGGGTTACTATTAATAAAATAGTAATCTGAATAAAACCATTAGTAGAATTGATAATATAATATATTGTGTAAAGGAGAGGTTATTAAATGTTTCAGCATGTTAAATATCCAATTTGATAATCGATACATATTTTTTTTCAGATTAATAGTTCCAATTTTAATGTTACTTTAAAAACGTCTCTTAAAAAATGAGAACAAATAATAGCCAAGTGTCTGCAAGTCAATCCCTATTGCAGACGTCTCTTCAGGCACATTTGTTTTCGTTCTATACTACAATGGTCTATACTGCAAATCTACCGATATGATATTTACTGTTTCTGCGATAGAACTCATTCATCTGAAATGATCAACAATTTGAACAAGGCCAGTGCATTCAAACCCTCGGTCACGATGACTCGTGAATTAGGGCTAAAGTAACTATCTTAGGTTCCAATCGATTTATTCTACCCATTTTCAATCACGAGGCTTTTTTGAACCCAGGTTATTGTTTACACGTACTTTCCAAAGAAATCAACCGAGATCAACTATCTAGGCTGACACAAAAATTCACATTCCTGATAAATCGGCCACAGTGCGGTTGGAACCTTGATATTATAATTGGAATACGAACATTATAACGCTTTTATTAAAAGAATATCCACTGCTAAAAGCAGGCAGTATACAGCCGACATAATAGAGAATTTTTAACAGAAGCGAAGATATAATCTGTGGTTTCTGACACTATTTATTTTAATTTTAGATCACACTTATCAAACTTATTACATAGAAATAAGTTACTAATAATAATAATAATAATATTTAGGAGACTAAATATTAGTAGGTGAAATTAACCACAAAGCTGAACAAGTCATTCATTTTACTAGACTACAAAAGAATTTATTAAGAACTGCCATAATTATTATGTCTGAAAGGGAAACGCATTAAGAATTTGATTATTTTTGTAGCTCATTTCACCCAACACGATCTTAATCATTTATTTCAACATTATTGTCCAGTTTAGAACGAACGTTATTAGACCATCTGCATCTAACCTGAAGCATCTATTATCTATCTATCTATCTATCTATCTAAGCCGATTCATATCTATCTATCTATCTATAATAATTTTTTATTCACTCCTAAAACCCGTCAAGTTAACATCGGCCGACTCCAGTTATATAAGGCTTTTGATCTGTATTCGAACATTCGATATTTTTCTTGGGATGATCCGAGGGATCATGCTTTCTTCATATATCTAAATCCCAGACATTCACTTGTCTAGGACGGCTTTATCCAATTTTCAGCGAGATTCACTTCCGGTTTATATTGGTTTACCCACAAACATCACCTGAAATTCGATTCTACATGAACTGGTTTTGTGTTTAACGTCTAGATCAACCCCTGAAGCAACTTGGTCTGTTAACATTCTGAAGTGATACCAAGTAAAGCACTTACTTTCTTATCTGTTAGGGCAGACCCAGTACATATTGATGTCATCACAGACCGACATCTCTTAAACTAAATGTTCCTGATGAACATTAAATTTGTTCCATGCCTCTGGGATTTCTTACAGTGAATCACATAGAGAGAGGTATAACTATCGAAGACAGAAATTTAGAACGTTCAGCTTAAATGTATTTACATGTCAATTCCGTTTAAAATCGTTTTGTTATACGCTTCTGGCATTTTGTCATGGTAAACTAATCCTGTAAATATTTTATTCAAACCTATGATCATAACAGCGTGGTAAGAAGTTGTTAATTAACTCCATTACAACGGTTTAACATAAGTCTAGCCCTCTGACAGTCTAACCATCTGATTGTTTTTCTAACGCCAGAAGTTTCCCCAGGGTCATCTCCTCTATCCTTGATGATGCCCAGAGGCGCTGTTTAAATGGCTTGGCAGTCTAACCACAAAGTCGCATGTCATCCATTTCTCTAGTAGCAAAACCCCAACAAGCAAGGTGAGCCTCTGTAGTTCAGGCAAGAACACATGCACGGTCGAAGCATCGTAAAGCTGCCAAATGCCGCAAAAGAAGTCGGTTACCCGAGCTTGCTTGACATAGACAATGTCAGCCCCTTGTTCCTTGTGCTGTCTTTATACTACAAGTGCTGCACACCTTAATCGCAGAAGAAGGACACGTTCCATTCACCGAAGGTCACACAGCTCACAGACTAGCTCCACATTCTCGAGTCATACCACTGTGGATAAATCGGTGGCCGTTTCACAGAACTCGAGAATTAGGCGAATGTCAAACCGCCTGTTTGTCATCCCTAAGGTCAAAATAGCTTGATGTTGTTTTTCTGCTGTTGGAACACAAACGAGGAGGAACAAAAAGGAAATCAGAGTTATGGAGTTCCACACAATAGTAATACCGTTGACGACTCGGTATTTATCCAAGTCCTCCCCGCAAAGCTGGATGTGGTATAAGGCCGGTTATTTAACGTGGAGCGTTCCTAGCCCCTACGCTCGGACGAAATTCCCCCGTAGACCCTGTAATAACGGGGCCGGGTTTGTCTACCTCCCCACATGAGACACTGCCCTCTTCATCATAGCCTGTTTTGGGTTTCTCTGTGCACGGAGTCAGAAAGGTCCATAAGCAACGTATATAAGAAGTAACTGGCAACTCGCTTACTAAGCAGCAATCCGTCTGTTTATATTGAGTCCAAAATCAACAGAATTTTTCGCTAGGCACGACACGAATGATTTGCATAGACAAATTTTAGGTACCCCTCAGCCCACCACCGCGAGCATATCTTTTGCAAGAAGACTCGTGCCGGCCCTCCTCTCCTGCATACTAGAAACCAAGTGTTGTCTTTTTAATCGACAGGGCCGAGCAGCTTAATAGAAAGTGGCCGGCAGCTCATCCTGCCTTTCGCTTCTTCTACACCCTCTTCGAGATATATCTAAATAAACACCCAATAAAACATCCTGGATGCTTGACCTAATGTTTGCTGTTCATGATGACGGTCGTCTTTGAGTAAAGAATCCAGAGGTTAGCAGTGAATATTTCGAAGACAGTACGGAAGCGTTGTTCAGGTTCGCAGTGGATACTCCGGTAAAGTAGCAGAGCGTACTTCGTTCTTCTGTTTTCTCTTCGCATGACAAGCTGGACTGGATATTCGGGTAGAGTAGACAAAATGGCCGCCTTTATACACGACGGATTGAATGTTCTACGTCTTCTGATTGGTTAACCTTCTATTGGTGGACTATAAAGTGAGTCAAGTCATTTGGGCTAACTCACTACTAATATATACAAAAAACTGCAACAATGTTTACAATAGAGATCCAACCGTGAGACACTGGTTTAAACTGATTATATTCGATTACTCAAGCCGTGAATTTTGACATCATCGAAGAGGAAATTAGCAAGCGCAGTGCTAGGAGATATCTAAAAAAAACTATAACACAAGGTGACGCAAGCCTCGTGGGTTGAACTGGGTAGACAAAACTTTATGAAAGACGTTAGTTCGAAATTACATGTCTTCAGCTAATGGTCAAATGGAAGGTCTTTAGTCTTATTTGGCAATCTATCTGGAAATGTTATTTCAAAACGATCGTCCTCACAGCAGCCGGGATATCTGGATCTGAAAACAAAAACTCCAAATGATTGAAATTTTGAAAAATTACGTCAAGCGAAAATAACACAGAATGATGTTTGATGATTTGTTTTGATTTAGTTTATTTTACAGCATATCTAATTCAATGGGTTATTGAAGGCTGATAAGATTCAAGGATAGGTTTGCATAAAAAGAATATGTATTCTTGGTAAGAAATCTGTTTGTAGACCAGGTTTTATTGACATATCTTTTGTAAAGAGGGTTTTTGTCGAGAGTCATATGTATTGTTGGTAATATTTTTTTACAAAAATCTATTGTTGGCAATATTTTCTTTTTTTAAAAATGTATTGCTAATAAGATTTTCTTTTTCAAAAATGTATTTCTGCTCATATTTTTTTAAATGTATTGCTATTTTTTAATATAAATATTAGTTCGAAGTTACATGACCCCAGTTAACAGTCAAATGTAAGCTCTTTAGTCGTATTTGGCCATCTATCTGGAACTGTTATTTGAATCCAATCATCCTCTCAGCAGCCGGGATATCTGGATCTTAAACCAAAGACTCCAAAATGATTGAAATTTTGAAAAAATTACGTCAGGCGAGAATAGCAGAGAATGGTGTTTGATGGTTTGGTTTATTTTATTTTATTTTACGGCATATCAAATTCAATGGGTTATTTAGGGCCGGAAAGAGTTTAAGGATAGGTTCGTGTGAATAGAATATCTATTCTTGGTAAGAAATCAGTTCGTAGATCTGGTTTCATTGACATATCTTTTGTAAAGAAGGTTTTTGTCGAGTGTCAAATATAATCATGATAATATTTTTTTCCCAAAAATATATTGCTGCTAATATTTTTTTTCTAATTTTCAAAAATGTATTGCTAATAATATTATTTTTTTCAATAATATATTGCTGCTAATATTTTTTTTCAAAGATCTACTGCTATTTCCCTGCTAATCTTTACTATAAAAATTTATTTTTATACTTTTTTAGTGATTTGACCTCATTTTGGGATTTCACTATTTTCCCATAGCGGGTGATACTGCCATGGGTCAGGTTAGACCTGGAAATAAAAGATATTAAGATGTTTCCACACTTCTCAAAACCTCTCGATCAGAGGCATTGCTGCCGGATGTAGTTTATCGTCATACCCAGGATGAGATGTTCGATGAGATAGTCATACAAATATTAAATTAATCTGGCAAAAGTTCAAAATGATGAAGCATCTGTTCAATGTAAATTCTATGTAAATAGTATTCTAGAAACCATGCTTAGCGTTGGTGTATTTTATTTCTTCTAGTTTTACGTGCCGTGTCCCTTCAGAACGTAGGCAATCATGACCCTCCACATTTTCCTGTTACTTGTAACTCTAATTAAATTTTGCATATTTGTTATATCTCCCAAACCCTGTTCTAACATCCATTTAATCAACCTTATCAAGTATGTCACGCGCTGTCTTCCTCTGTCCACCTTTCCTTTAAGCTGCCCTTTGAGCATCACGTTTCCCAGTCCTCTTTCCTCATTATATGCCCTCAGAAATTTCAACTTTCTCTTTTTGATGTTAACTATAAGTTTCGTTTGTGTTTTCATTTTCTCCAAGCCCTATCGTTGACCACATCTTCGTCCATTGTATCCTCAGTATCTTCTTGTAGAACCACATTTCTGTTGCTTCAAGTCGAATTTTGTGTGTCTTTTAAATACTCTGATTAGCTTTTGGGATGCGTCTTTAGTCATCCCAATACGTTTTTGTGCCTCAGTGTCGCACTTTCCGTCTTTTGTTAGACCAATTCCGAGGGATTTAAATTTTTGTACCTGTTTTATTTTAGTATCCCCGATTCGTATTTTCTATTCTAGGCTTTTCCTTTCTTCTGAGTGTATAGCTTATTTTAATACAATTCCATTGGTCAACACGATGTAGGGTGCCAAGAAACAAAACACTTTTTTAAATTAATTTGATAGTGCTGATTCTGAAAATGACCTTAGTTTTCCATGGTTAGCTACAGTTTTTGCTATACTGAAATTGGTCTTGTTAGGAAAATGATCGATTTACAATCTTGACTAATCGTATCAATTTTCAAGTACCTCGAGTAATTTGTCAGCAACCTGAAATAAATTATTTTTTTATAAGAAAACAGTGTTTTTGAGTCAAAAATTTTAAAATAGAAATAACGATTTTTTTTCAATTTAGAGCCCAAATTCTAATTAATTGCTAAACTTTATCAGTAATACATTTTGTAAATGATAATTAAGGTGACATAAAAAAATGTAACCTTATAATCTTCTTGAGATTCATAGCCATGTGATTACTAGTAAATATCACGGTTGTCTTGTGAAATCTCCCTTACATGCTGTTAATGGGATAGATCGTATATTTGTGTATTAGATCTAATATTTTTGTGAGTTCTGTTCTATGTTAGACCCCTTCAAAATAAATAGTGTTAGTAACCATTATAAAATAATTACGACAAAGATATGAAGTAGAATCAGCGTATCGTCTCTTTCCGTCTTTTGTTATTTAAAGTTTTACGAGATTCTCCGTAGGACAGTAGATGACATTACCTAAATGTGAACACTCAAAGTTTAATGT